AAAAAAAAAACAAAAAGCATGTAAACAAACCCAAGGAATTTCCTAGATAACTAAAAAGACCTACCTTGCTTAACAAGAACATAATTAACCTTAGAAACTCCAGTATCACAATTAGTTATGGAATTACTATTTTGGACTTGTTCCTTTCAGCACCAGAGCTCCAAAAGCCACTTGGTCACGTTTTCCAGCCCCAGCAAACTAAGCCCAAAACAAGTTTTATTTTAATCCATTCCCTGATTTTCATCTTAGATGTGGAGTAGAAGTAACTTCCACCATTGGAGACAGGGTGGCAGGGTTTAGCAGAGCCTCACCCTGAGCTCTTGGATAGCTGCCTCAATGAAGCACGCCTCAGGGGTGAGCTTCTCCTCTGCCAGCTGCTGCTCCAGGGCCACTCTCTCCTCCAGGACAACCCGGTGCAGCACCTGCTTCTGCGAAGCCAGCAGCAGCTTGGAGTACTGGCTGTGCTGCTCATCTGCAAGAAAGTCAGCAAGATTCAAAACAGCAACACTCCAAAGCTCAGTGAGTATGTGGCTCAATGAGAAGCTTTTATCAGGGAGTAAAGACTTAGCAACTCAAGAGGAACTTCCTAAACTATCAAGTAACACTGACCTTAAAATGTGTACCTCTGACCCTGTAATATAGGCAATCTATCCTAAGAAGACCAGTGATGCAGTTAAAAAAAAAAGCCAAATAATATTCATTCATTATGGCACTGCCGGGATTCGCTTGGCCTGGGAACTTGACACTACCGCCCATCCACCAAGACAATATATTCTATATTCTACGTTGGTGAGTAAGTAACTGTGATCTGAAAACTCATGGGTGGCCATCTAAGGTGTAACTACTGGTCCCTCCCTGTCCAGAGGAAAGAAAAAGTGCTGAAAAATGAAGGTGCTCAGAAACAAGTAGTCCAGTTCTAATGAAGCACTTGAACACCAGTCAGTCTCCATGACCCTGAGACCAGAAGTACTAGGTGGTGTCCAGCTACCACAACTTACACCAACAGCTCTGAAAGGGTTCACATTAGATGGTCCTGGATAGAGTGGGAGAAAATACAGAACAGAACTCAAAATCATAAACAGACCGGACATGTCAGTCAGATAAGACTGGTGGAATCTCGAGACTGTAGATGTTGGTTATCCTTCAGATCCAAGTACTGAACTCATCCTCATGGCTCAATTTTCAGGTAAGCAATAAATAGGTATACAGAGAAGATAACAACACTAGTGAGGTAGACACACCATAGAATGGTCAACCATTAAAAATCAAAAGGGCAGTATTTATCTAAGGACAAAATCCAGAAGGGTTGCGGGATAAAAGGAGGAATGGAAACAAGAAACTCAGGAAGGAAGTGGTTAAATGATATTACAATAAAGGGATTGCAGTCAATGAGATAAAACAACGTGTGTGTGATTTACTGAACTAATCTGCTCTGTAAACCTTCAATAAAGTCACAATAAAAAGATTTTTTTAAATTTTAACATTGCCTATAGTATCAAAAATGCTGAGACTAGCCAGTTAATGTGAGATTAAAGATATGACTAACTAACTACATGATGATATGCTCACTCAACAGAACTTTACAGGCACTAAAATGATTTTCCAACGAAGGGGTCATTGTTAACATGGTAATCTCCAAAACTGGGCACAGACTTCAACAGTCCCATAAAATAAAAACCTGAGATACATATAAATATGAACCACACAAAAACCCATGTGTCAAACCACAGTTTGCAAACTTTCACCCTAACAAACTATAAAACAAAGCTCAATTTGGTGGTGGTGGTGGTGGTAATGTGCCGTGGAGTCAGTTCAGACTCATAGCAACCCTGTACAGGGTTTCCGAGGCTGTAAATCTTTACGGGCGCAGAAAGCCTCATCTTTCTCCCGTGGAACAGCCGGTAGTTTCAAACTGCTGACCTTGAGATTCGCAGCCCGATTCATAACCACTACGCTACCGGAGCTCAATTTGAAAATGCTAAAACTGGCTTTCCTAAAGGTTAAATTTCTGACACTAGAAAGCTATCTTTAATGCCCCTAGAGAGTGCACCCAGGATTTTCTGTCCCAAGGTTAACAAAGCTTACCTCCTAAATGAATGGGATGATTTACATTCATCCATTTGGATTTGGGCAAGGCCACCAACACGCCTTTCTCCCTCTTCATCAGCTGCATCGTAATAGTATCACCAACCACATAATGACGTGATTCTGTGGCAACAACACTGTAACATGGACATTTAGACATAGGAAGACGAGGCATTATCAGACTAGTGCTGAATCTAGCTAATGCCTTAATCTCCTCACCTCTTGAGATCCTTCTTATGCACAGAGCTGTAACAGATGGGACATTTACTCCAGGTCTTCTCACTCAGTGAAAGGTAGTGCAGGATACATGCCCAGCAGAAGATATGTCCGCAACGGGTTATCTTGGCTGCAGTAGGTGGATATAGGCATATTGGGCAAGATGGCACTTCGTGGCTACAAATGCGCTGAAATAAAACACCGCCAGAAATTTTGCTGCTTTCAGAACTGACAAAGGATTACGTACGTCCTCTCTTTTCCCATTCCCATATATCTCTATTCAACCACACATCTTCCAAACATTGTTCAGAGATGTAGGTACATGAAAGATGAAACTTTAAGCAAATTAAGGAAATTATAACAATGGTTAAATACATGAGAGGTACTTTTGGGGGTTCTAGAGCAATGGAAAAGAGCTCTGGCAGTATATAGTAGCTAAATTCACAGCTGCTAACTGAAAGATTAGTAGTTCCAATCCATTAGCTACTCCATGGCAGAAAGCTAGAGTGGGCAACTTCTTTAAAACTAGAACCCAGTTCTACTCTGTCCTATAGCATCACCATGAGTCAGAATCAACTCAATAAAAACAAGTTTGGTTTTATATCAAAGGAAAACAATGAATAAAATCACTATATGATCCCAATCATGTAACAAGATTTAACACATACATACCAAAGCATTAGAAATGCCTAGAAGTAAGTTAGCAGAGCTACGAGAGGGCTTCAAAAAGTTCAAGGAAAAAGTCAACTATCTTTCCGTCATATTTCTCCATGAACTTTTTGAAGCCCCCACGTATTTCCATGAGAGTTAATGAGGACTTTTGCTTTACACGCTTCACCTACCTCATTAATCAACATTTGCCATTTATAACAATAGTAAAATTACGTGTTGCTGTTGTTAGGTTGCTTCTAGGCCCAGTTGCGAGGATTTTTATTTTATTTTGAAGTACTAGCCATACTAAGCAGTCCTGGTGTGGAGCTGTGGGTTAATGCACAGACTGCAAAGCCGTTTGAACTGTAAGGTCATTGGTTCAAGCTCACCAGCTGCTCCTCGGAAACCCTATACAGGGTCGCTATGGGTCGGAACCGACTCGAAGGCACTCAACAACAATCCATACTAAAGACTATGTAATCTTTGATCTTCATTAATAAATACTTCAAGTTTACTTTACTTTCAGCAAGCAAGGTTTTATCATCTGCATATCCCAGATTGTTTTAGTCTTCCTCCAATCCTGATGCTACATTTCTTCCTCTTATACTCCAATTTGCCAGTATATTTGCTAATCATACAGATTAAGTATTATAAAAGATTACAACCTTGATACACAACTTCCCTGATTTTAAGGCCTACAATGTCCCTGTTTTGTTTGACACCTGCCTATTAGTCTTCGTACAGGTTCCTCATGACCACAATACAGTTATCTAGAATTCCCATTCTTCACAAAGTTATCCATGATTTGTTATGATTCACACAGTTTAACGCCTGTGTATAGTTAATAAAACACAAGTAAACATCTTTCTGGAATTCTGTTTTCAGCCAAGATCCATCTGATCTCAACAATGAAAACCCTTGTTCCACGTCCTCTTCTGAATCTGGCTTGGATTTCTGGCAGTTTCCTGTGTCAATGCACTGCCATAAACATTGCAGCAGTTCGAAACTACCAGTGGTTCCGCGGGAGAAAGATGAAGCTTTCTGCTCGTGTAAAGATTTACAGCCTCAGAAACACTATACAACGTCACTATATGTCAGAACCGAATTGACAACCGCGTAGTGGTTACGAATCAGGCTGCTAACGTCAAGGTCAGCAGTTCCCAACCATTCCACGGGGAAAAGATGAGGCTTTCTGTTCCCATAAAGATTTATAGCCTCGGAAACCCTGTACAGGGTCACCATGAGTCGGAACTGACTCCATGGTACTTAACAACAACAACAACGTTCAATAACTTCTGCACTCTATTGAATCATCTGTGTTTGGAATGGACACAAATATGAATCTCTTCTAACTGGTTGACCAGGTAGCTGTCGTCCAAATTTCTGGCATAGAAAAGTGAGTGATTCCAGCCTCAGTTTGTTAAAACACCTTAATTGGCATTGTCATGGTACAAGAGACTTTGTATTCCTTCTAAAATCTTTTGATACTTCCTATGTTAGTCAATATTTTAACCATTGTTGTTGTTAAGTGCCGTCAAGTCCATTCCGACTCATAGCAACCCTGGTACATGGTTTCTGAGGAGTGGCTGGTGAGCTTGAACTGTTGACCTTGCAGTTCAAACTGACCTTACAGTCCAGTGCATTAACCCGCAGAGCGATACCAGGTCTCCATTTTGACCACAGAATCCTTCAATAATGGAACCTGTGGCTTTAATACTTTGTCTTCTCAAGCCAACCTCTGAAATTTTCCATTGAGCTCTTTTACTTCATTTTTTCCTTTCACTTCAGCTATTCTATGTTCAAGAACAAGTTTCAGAGTCTCTTCTGACATCCATCATGCTTCTGTTTTCCTTGTCTTTTAAATTACCTTTTGCATTCTTCATGTATGATATCCTTTGATGTCATTCCAGAATTCATGTGCATCAAATCAAGTTTTGAGATGGTCTCTAAATTCAGGTGGGATATACACAAGTCAAACTTTGACTCTTGTGTACTTGCTCTAATTTTCTTCAGTTTCCATTTAACTGTGTATGACTGTTCCACAGTCAGCCTGGTCTTATTCTGACTGATGTACAACAATCGGATAACAAAAAAAATCTACTATTCAAATATTTTGCACATTAACTACATACAGCTGGCTATAATAAACACTGAGGTGGGAGGCGAGAGGAATACAAGCTATGATGGTTAAGATTATGTGTCAACTTGGTGAGGTCCTGCTTCTCAGTGGTTTGGCAGTTAGGTTCTGATGAAATCTGTTGTTGCTAAGTGCCACTGAGGCAGTTCCGACCCATAGCGACCCTGTATAGGGTTTCCAAGGAGTGACTGGTAAACTGAACCACCAAACCCTGCGGTTCAAAACAACTTTGCAGTCCAGCGCATTAACCCACAGCACCATAGCAGGATGAAATTGAGCAGGTATGTCATGTCATCATTCTCCATTTTGTGAACTGGTATGATCCTCTTCCACTTTAGCCTATTGCTAATTTTCACATTACAACCTGGTCTTTGGAACCTAACCATGTCAGTCAGTCAGGAGTGGGTTTATAAGATTCCATATTCCTTTTAACCAGAGGACATAAAACTGAAAACTTTAGCAAAACTGAAGCTTACCACCTACTGTAAGAAAGTCTGGTCTTTAAATATCATTTCTAGATGACCTTTTGAATTTTCTTAAAAAGGTTCTGAGGCCTCAAGAGAAATAAAAACTGGTTTCCCAAAGTGTATGCCCTTATTTAAGACATTGTACATTAGATGCCCTATTAGCATCAACAAGGGGATAGCTAGAGCCAGTAACTTCAATAGAAAACAGTAGCTTTGACTAAAATGCAGTGGTATGGCTCACTCATCTGCTACAAGGCTTCCAATGAAGCCATGGCTCATGTAAGAAGCCCATGCTGGGACACGAGAATCAGCAATATCCCTCCCATGAGTCTCCTGATTCCTACTTCCCAGCAGACAGCAATAGAAAACAGCTCTAGTCAGATCCCTTCAGATCACATCCTTCCAATATCCCATCACTGCAGGCCAGTACCAACGAGAGTGACAATGTGACCTTTCAGAGAAACCAGGGGCTGCTCCTGGGGAGATGTCTACCATAAAGCCACGCTGGACAGTGCATCGGCAGAGAACACAGTCACCATCTGCCATGTCACCATGTAAGGACCAAACTGATTTTACCTGATTTTGCCTACCTAGAGACTGCTTGACTAAACTCTAGTCAGGCTCAGGAAAGCATTTTAAATAGACAAGGCCTCAGTTATTAGTTCCCTCCAAGAGACAAGGTCAATCTCCATTCTGTACATTAGCCTGAACACGTACTCTAGCTCCAAGAAAATGATATATGTATAAATAGCCAGGCAGCTCAAGGCCAGAGGCCAGATGTTTTCCTTTACCCTAACCTAAGAACAAAGACCACCAGTCCTGACCAATTAAACTGTAACATCTCATAGTTTGTCAATTGTTAACCAATCCAAAGATTGTAAAGCTGAGAAACCTGAGCTGTTTGAAAATTCTATAAAAACCCTGCAGACAATGAATTTGGGGCTCTTTCCCTATTCCGAAATGTCGGATAAGGTTAGAGACCTGGCTCGAGCTTGATTAAACAACCCTTATGTATTTGCATCGGTACACGGCTCCTGGGTGGTCTTCGGGGACCCTGAATTCTGGGCATAACAACCACAACCCTTCTTCAGCTCTCTTTCCCACTCAGCTCATAAGCTTAGCCAAGTTACTCACCACTTGTTCCACAAAGTCCCAGTTGACTAAGGTATCAGGATCAGCAAAATGAGCTGTGTAGTCTTGGTTTTCAGACACCACAAATTGGCAGCTAGAAATAGAGAGGAAGATGGGAAATGCAAGCTATAAGAATCCATCAATAAGTCCTCAGCAAAAAAATTCATCATCTCAGTTTTAAAAATGAAATGTAGGCCCATTAACAACCATGGTCTCTGGGGCACTGTACTAGGATTTCAGCCTCAGTGTGTGTCCTGGCACTGGAGGAAATCCAAAGGCTCACTGGATAGGAGTCTTTAAGTCCATGAACTTGGTTTCTTATACTTTTAAACCCAACCAAGTCCCCTGGAGGCTTCCCTGGAACTAAAATTAACCCAAACTACGGCTTCATTAATCAGCAGGAAACCAGATACCCACTCTCCTCCCCAAGAAGCCAGCTATTCTTCAAAGCAGTGAAGACTGTGATCATTCAATCATTTAAGTACCCGTTTATAAAAAGCACAAAATGGTTACTTCAGATACAGGGTCAAATCAAACATTATGACTAAAAGAAACAAAGGGAACCAGTATTTGAGTCAATGTATGTCCAAGTACTTCAATTCACTGTCACTGAATCATTCTCTTTTAAATAACTTCCCAAATAGAGAGGAGAAGTTGAATCTCAAAATGGTTAGGTAAATTGAATTGCCCAAAGCCAAAAGTTAAAACAGATTAAAATCTGGGTCCCATTCCAAAGCAAACATTTTCTACTCCATATGATACCAAAGATACTATTTACTTAGCATTATTTTCTTTAAAGTACCAAAAACATCCTACCAAGATCTCCGTGCTTACCAAAAGTGAAAAAGAGCCAGACCAACTCCCACAGTTTAAGGGAAATCTCCCCCTATTTGACAGCTGCCCAGAGAGGTTAAATTTCACTTTCCTCCTTAGAGTAACTATACTCACTTTGCCTGTAAAAAGAGTTCCTTGTTAAAAGGCTTGTGTCCCCACTTGTTCCTTTTCCCCCAGCTGCCGTGTCCACTGCCTTCAAAGTGGCCCGCTTGGCCACGGGGTTCAAAAGTGAAATTCAACAAGTGGTTCAGGTTGATCTTCTTAGGACCAGAAAACTGGGCAGGGCTAAATTCTGCCCGCTGAGCCTCTGCTACCTAGAAACAGTAAGAATGAACCAGTGCATTAGATTAGGATGACACTTACTTGCTTTACAGCAGACACTGGCACAACTCCTCCTACACAGCTGAAAATAGAAACTATATAAAACAAACACAGGCTGAAATTAAACAATCTTCCTCGAAGGGGGTAATGTGAAACTGTACCCAAGGCTTAGACGGCAGAGGAGAGGAGGGAAAAGAGCCTTTAGCATACAATTACTTAAACTGTTTAGTCTGCCCTGTTAAGTGGCAATTAACCATTAAATAACAGAACCCAGCATGAACTCTTTCCTCTAGCTGTCTTGAAATGCAAAAATGTACTTGTGAGTTGCCATCGCAAGTTGGCTTTGACTCATGGTGAACCTATGTACAATAGAATGCTGCCAAATCCTGGGCTAGCTTCATAATAGTTGGTATATACAAGTCTATTGTTTCGACCATTATATATTCTCAGTGCCTTCCAACTAGGGGGCTGATCTTCTAGAACTATTGGAGAATATTCTCTCGTGACCCACTGAGTTTTCACTAGCTATTCTTTGGAAACAGATCACCAGGTCTTTCTTTCTAGTCTGTCTTAGTCTGAAGTTACATTGAAACCGGGCCACCATGGGTGACTTTGCTGATATCTGAAATATTGATGGCAGAGCTTCCAGCATTACAGCAACTTGCAAGCTTGTACAACACACTGACAGAGAAGTGGTGGAAAGATTTATTAACTAGGTTAATGTTTCAACAGTTCCACTTTCAACAGTCCCATAGGACTGCCGCACCTTCACTGTTAGCTATTTCCTCTTCAGTTTGCTTCTGACAGTCTGTGGAGCCACACTCTAGAGACAGTTTATAGGCACCTAACTGCCATAGGATTAAGAGTCTGCCAGATATTTCCTGTCTAAGACACACTGCTATTCCCTGTTCATTGAAACTGACAGAATTAGAATATAGGCAGACTACCTCAGTGAGCAGAAATAAATCCAATCAGCATTTTCAGAAACAGTTTAAGAAACGGCAGGAAACTACATATAAGAATTACCAATACACATAAAGATGAACATTAAATCACATCAGGACATAAGATTTCAGTCCTCTTAACATTTCTAATACGATCAAGAACCACTGGTATTGAAGGAAGAAGTTCAAACTGCATCGAAGGTTTGTTGTTGTTAAGTGCATCGAGTTGGTTCCAACCCACGCAACCTTATACAGAGTTTCCGAAGAGCACGGGAAAAAAAAGACTCCAGGAACTGATGAATACGAACAGAGATATTCCAACAAGCCAATGTAGCACTGGAGCTGCTCACTCCTCTCTGTCAAGAAACTTAGAAGATAGCTACCTAGCCAACAAACTGTAAGAGATCCAATTGTTGTTGTTGTTATGTGCCGTGGAGTCGGTTCCAACTCGTAGCGACCCTGTACAGGGTTTCAAAGGCTGTAAATCTTTACGGGAGCAGAAAGCCTCATCTTTCTCCCGCGGAACAGCTGGTAGTTTCGAACTGCTGACCTTGCTGCTCGCAGCCCGATTTGTAACCACTACGCTACCAGAGCTCCTTAAGAGATCCAATATGTGTGCCCATTCCAGAAAAAGATGATTCAACATAATGCAGAAATTATTAAATATTAGTATCACACACAAGGAAAATTTTGCTGAAAGGAATTTAAAAATGGTTGCATCAGTATACAGGGAGCTAACTGCCAGTTGCCAAAAAAATCAAGTCGTATTCAAAAGACCTGGAATAAGAAAATACCATTGCTGTTATTAGATCTTGATGGAAAGCAAGGAATACCAGAAAAATGTTTACCTGTGTTTATTAACTATGCAAAGATATTTCACTTTGTGGATCGCAGCCAACTAAGGGTATCATTGAAAAGAATGGGGGCTGTATAAGACTTGTACATAAACCAAGAGGCAGTGGTTTAAACAGAACAAAGGGATATTGTTGTTGTTGTTGTTGTTGTCAAGTGCCATTGAGTTGGTTCCAACTCATAGCGACCCTTGTATAGGGTTTCGGAGGAGCATCTGGTAAATTTGAATTGCCACTTTGCATTTCAAACCCGACCTTGTGCTCAAGTGCTTATCCTACAGCACCATACCAGGACTGCAAGGGGATACACTAACTTGTTTAAAAGCAGTAAACAACAAACTAACATTATCATGCATGACAGTATCACCCAGAACTCAACCCAGATATAGGAGTATCCAGAGTAAAACAAATCTACGAGACTAAAAATAAGAAACCAAAGGTATCAGTTTGCAACAAAAAAACTACAAAGTAAAAAGAGGTGATAATGTAGTTACACACTTCCAAATGAAGAGGAAAACAAACAGATTTCAAGAAAAAACTAAAGTTACAAGTAACTGTAACCCTAAAATTAGACCAAGCCCTACTGCTAGCCAAAGACCTAATATGAACACTAGTCCTAATCATAATCCTTACATGAAACCCTAGACCTAGCCTAGAACAAACCAAAGTCCTGGTGAGGCACTATAGCGTAAGCAATGGACCACAAGGTTGGTGTGAACCTCAAAGTCAGCAGTTCAAACTAACTAGCCACTCTTCGGAAACTTTATACAGGGGCCCTATGAGTCGGAACCAACTTGACAGCACTTAAGAACCCTTACCCCTAACTCCTTATTCCTACCCATTCCTCCCTCCCAACAAAATCAGGAAAAGTTTGCATCAGGGTTGTATTCTTTCAGTATACTTACTCAATCTGTACACTGAGCAAATAATTCAAGAAGCAGGATTACATGAAGAACAAGAAAGCATCAGAATTGGAGAAATGCTCATTGATATATGCAGATGACAACCTTGCTTGATGAAAGCCATGAGGATTGGAAGCACTTACTGATGAAGTCCAAAGTACAACAAACTGACAGAGAAGTGGTAGACAACAGCTTTCAATATAGATTACACCTCAACATAAAGGAAACAAAATTCCTCATTACTGGACCAATGAGCAACATCATAATAAATAAAGGAAAGACTGAAGTTGTCAAGGATTTTATTTTACTTGAATCCACTATCAATACCCATTGTTTGCAGCATTAAAAAAAAAAAAAATCAAAGGATGAATTGCAATGGGCAAATCTGTTACAAAAGACCTCTTAAGAGAGTTTAATAGCAAAGGTATCACTTTGGGGACGAAAGGTGAGCCTGATACAAGCCATGGTATTTTCAGTTGCCTCATATGCATGCAAAAGCTGGAAAATTAATTAGGATTCTACAAGAACTACTGATGTCTTTGAATGGTGGTGAAGAATACTGACTAAACTACAGACTGACAAAAAATCTATTTTGAAAGCAGCAAAGCCAGAATTCTTCTTTGAAGCAACAAGTCTCACATACATTGGATATATTGTTAGGAGGGACCAGTGTGTAAAGCAAGCTTGGTAGAGGGCCAGTGAAAAGATGACTTTCAAGCAGGTAGACTGACATAATGGCTGCAACAATGGACTCAAACATAGGCAACAACTGTGAAGATGGTGCAGAACCAGGAAGTGTTTCGTTCTGTTGTACATATGGTGCCTTTAAGTCAGAACCAACTCAACGGTATCTAATAACAACAACAGTATTCTCAAGTTGAAGTGGTACAGATACATGTGCATTTTCTTACTTACTTTTCCCATCTAACATTATAAACACTTTGCCATGTCATTAAATGTTACTATACAGTCACTTTCAGTGGCTACATCCCATTGCCTTCCCTGGGTACACTATTACAGGATGCAGATGGTTTGCTGCTTTTCTACTGTCATAAAATAATGCTGTGAGAAGCATCCTTTGGAAAGATCCTTATGCACACACTCAGGCATCTACAACGATTTCTTAAGGGAGAATTATTAAGTCAAATAAATGTACATTGAAGGCTTTTAGTCAAATTTGGAGATTTTCAGTTAGGTTAAAGCAACTGCATATACATGATGAAGAATCTAATGGTATAAAAAGAGAGCAGTAAAAGGTACGTTCTAAGATAAGCACTGGACTACCAATTTCAAGGGTGGTGGTTCAAACCTTCTAGCTGCTCACTGTTTTATTTTGTTGTTGTTGTTAAGTGCCACCAAGTGAGTTCCAACTCACAGCGACCCTGTATATGGTATCTGAGGAGCAACTGCTAAATTTGAGCCACCAGCCTTGTGATTTAAAGTGACCTTGCAATCCAGCATATTATCCTACAGTGCACCACAACAGGGTAGCTAAGAGTCGGAATAGACTCAACAGCACTTAACAACTCCAGAAGCTACAATTAAATCCTTTGAGATATTCTATGCATACAGAATCAAAATATGCTACCCTTACAAAGAAATACCAACAATAGCATGCTATAGTTACATACATTCCTTTTTTATCATAACATATCTTAAGGTTATATTATTAAAGTCACTACACCAAGACTTTCTTATCAAGGCCCCTGTATCTAGAAAACCCTAGATGCTCATCTCCACAGAATTCTGTAAATCTCCTCAACAGATTACCTTTCACCTCCAATGCGCCACTAAATAAGAATTTGTGCTCATTCAGCAAAAATCCCCCCACAACCTCACTATTCAGTCAATTCCCTGGCCTCTAGTTTCTTTGCTTCCTCTCCCCAGTTAAGTTTGCCCTCTACCCTATCTCGGCCTCTTATCCTCTGATCAAACCTTGAAGAGTTGTGGTGTCCAGTATTAGTCTGATACAACTACTACATTTAAAATGAGGCCAGTTACACATTAAATTGTAGCTTCATTTAAATGTTGAAGTAACAATTCAGATATGACCAATTAAATATGTTACAAATAATTTCACCTTTTTAATAAGGCTACTAGAAAAATTTTTAATTCGGGGGCGGGGGAGCTCACTCTGCATTTCAATTGGCCTGTACTCTCTCTAGTCTAGACTGCCCTCCTCCCACTAAACTTTTAATTTTGAGCATCTCACTTAGCAACCGGCACCTGACATTTTCCAAGTCTGTTCTCTTTATTCTTGAGTCCAACAATTCTTCATCCCTCTTTCAAAAGAGTA